TTAAACCATGTTTAAGGATCTTACACACTCCCGATGAGTATGCAATAGTGTTTTATCGCTTTGGTTCATTACTTACCACAGTTTTTGGTTAAGGAAATCTAGATATACGAACTTTTCATTTGATGATTTCTCATTAGAATAGCGAGTTGTACAGTAAGAAACATAATGGAAACCCTAATGTACAAGGGTTAGATGAGTTGACCGGTTTGACTTGTTGACTTTAGTTTACTTTGACTTGGCCAAAAATTGACGGTTGTCACAGTTTGAAACTTTGTCTGAAAGTTAGTTTGAATTACATCCAATAGCTTTGTATAGTATAAACATAAAACTCTTATTGCTCCAGTTCCTCGAAAATCCAGCAAGTACCTGTCTACTGATTTCCTGAGAATACAAGCAGTTTGAAAGAGTATCAGTATAAAGCTGGTGAGTTCATAAGCGGTGGCTTGTAGTGAAAATCGTTGATGAGTTCTTAAAATGTTTGTATAGTTCCAAGAAAATCCGATATTTTCTTTAGTGAGGATGTAATGTTTTCAATTCTGTATAAAACCATGAATGCTTGTCGCAAAAAAAAAAAAAAAAACTGTAGTGATATGCGAAATTATTACTTCATGTGACTAGCTAATGCTAATCATGATGTAATAGTATTTCGTGCGTAAAACCATTGTATGCTCGTTTCTGTTTGAAACCCTGAAAGTTCTCCAGTTGTAGTGTGTATTAGTTCTATTTAATGTAAATAAAACTGTTGAAGAGTGTTAAGTTGTAAACTAAAGGTGATTTATACATATTGTGAGTGGTATAACCATGCTTGATATGACTAGAGACTTTTCCAACGTTCTTCAGGCGTCGAGTTAAATGACATTTGTACATCCCAGGCGTGCCCGCCTAACTGTAGCTAGCAGTTCAGATGTGGGATTGTCAGTCCCGAATAGATCTATTCACAAATCGCACGCTCTCCCTCCAGGAGACTCTGGTTATACTATGGTAGGATTTATCCCTGTACACCTAAGGGTACAGTAGTGAAGTAGCGCCTCATAGTATCGTACAATCTAGTTTACATGTAGTGTAGTAGCGTTCTACCGTAGTGAAAATCCGTATGTATACCGTATGTAGTGATAATTACAGTTATGAATACCATGATAAAGTAGTGATGTAACTGTAAACTGTTTCTGTCTTAGCGCATATGTTTCGTAGTGAAAGTTTCTGTACTTGTTATGTTTAGAAAAAGCCCAAACTATATCGATTATAGTTTGCATGTATAGTGAATAGCGTGTCCGGAAAACTATGCAATTTTAGTGAAAACGTCCCTTATGCTCAACACAGTACAAAAGGGTTAAAGTATGAGATTTGCATAAGTTTTGAAAACATTTATGTTTAGCTTGTATCCCCCCTGAAAACATTAAAAATACGGAAAATGTAGGGGTATGAACTCACAATTGTTGCGTGAAAGCGCTGACTGAAATGAAGATCTTTGAGTTGTTGCACGTGACACTTAACGGAATCCTATTATCAAATAAATACATATATGTATCTAAATTAGCGATTTCGTTAGATAAAGTGTTAGAGGAACACTTGTATTCGGTTGAGGAATGTTACCGGGACTTGATCGAATCGATGAAAGTGGGTTTCCAGCCAAAAGCACCACTTAAAAGGTGTTTACGGCCGTGAACAAGGGTTTACGGTCGACAGACAGTTTACGGCCGTGAACAGGGTTTACGGCCGTGAATTGGGATTTACGGTTTCTGAAGGCTTGATGAGTTTACGGTCAAGGTTTTTAGAGAGAGAAGGAGAGAGTTTTTGGCCAGAAATGTTCAAATGAAGGTGGAGGTCTTGTATTTATAGGGGTTTTGTGGCCGGTGGTGGGGTCCACTCTTTACTGGCCGTAAACGGGTTTACGGCCGTAAACTAGTTTACGGTCGTAACCTCACTTAGGACATAATTGTTTGGTTTTTTGAGATATTCGGGTTCCCGCGCGATTTTTGGTTCCGACTTGTAAATAATTTAATTATATATAACTAGATTATTTTCTAAACCAGGAAGTTTGACGGAAAAGTTAGTGAATTTGAAATTTTATTAACGGAAATCGTGTAACGGAAACGGACAAAATTTCGGGTTGTCACAATCTTTGACATTCAGCTCTTATCTTCGATTTCTTCACAAATTCAAGATGAACATATGAATTTCTACATGAATGACTTTATCTTAAACAGTTGGACTTCCTTCAAAGATTTGACTTTGAACGCACATTGGGTGCAGAGGCTTCTTGTAAAGGTTCTTGACAATCAGCACTTTCAGCTTTGAAATACTTCAGAGAAAATAACAGAGAGACCGATTCTTCTAGATCACTTCTGCAAGTTCATAGATAGCAACATATTGATTGAGGAGGTTTCAATGCAATCTGTCACATAACTTCAAAAACAGCTTCACCTTGCTTCTGGGGTTGAAATATTGTATGTTGAAAAATAATCTTCACTTCTTGTTCCTTCGAATGAGTGTTCTTTGTCGATCACATATGCGTCTTGAAAGTAACCAGGACTAAAAAGTCCTTGTGATCATAGAATCATAAAGACCCTTCTCATCACAGTTGTTCAAGGACCCAGCCTTGGCTCAGAAGGAGACTACTCGCAGTATCTATGTGAACACGGAGGAACGCACTGCGATTTGTTGAGTATCGGAGAACTACCCGTGGCTATTTTTGATGTTAGCCCCTGTATATCCTAGATCAAATATCTCAAGTTTTTCAAGTTAACAAGTTAACTTGGCCCTTGGCGAGACGTTCAGCAATAATCGTGCCTTGCGAGGTGCATCGCCCTGGTGCCATGACATCTGTACAGTTTCAGAGTTTTAATTCCTTAAATACGACAGTTCTTATAAAGATACTGCCTAACTAACAATTTGTACAGTTTCAAATACTTCAATTCCTTTCAAAAGTAGAGTGAAGTGTAATGACCATCAACTCATTTCCAAATTTCTTCTCCTTGCTCAGAAAATTCCAATATAGTCTCCTTGAGTCTCTTCTTCTTTTTGAATTCATTTTTTAAGAGAAACGAAACTTTGAGATAAAAAAAGAAGTAAAAATAAACTTAGCACACAATAGAAATAACTAAGAAATAAAAATAAAATTAAAATACACTCAAAATAAAATATATTTTTTTGGATTTTTGATTTTTCTGAAAAAGAAATAAAAACATAAATAAACATATTTTTGGATTTTTTAAATTTTATGATTTTTTTTGATTTTTTAATTCTCCCCCTAAATTTGTGCATAGAGGAAAAATATGAACAAATTTAACAAAAACAAAAATAATAACTAAATTTAAAACTTTTTGGGATCAAAGTTGTCAAGCAATTCAATATCGTTTATCAGCACACACCTGCATGTTTAGCTCTGGTCAATCACCAATATTGTGGTCCACTTAAACACAAATGATATTGACAAGTTAGACAGATTATAAATGACAAGACATTGTGATTATATTCCTAAATAGACCATTTTGCTGACGACGACCAAGGATATTGTTGTCCACTTAAATTCAGCAGCGACATCTACAGACAACCTTTAATCATGAACTAATACAATTTTAAGCTCACTAGAACTTGTTCCCTAGTTCATGACATACCCTAGCAATCAAGGAATTCCAAAGAGCTCTTTACTTTAGGTGAGTGCCACTACAAGAAAAAGACCCTTTTACGACGCGCAAACCACGACACTCATTGATTTATGTTACGCAAAAGAGAGTGACATTAAAAAAGTATCATCTCTTCAAAAAATTTAAGGATTTATGTCACGCATTATTGTGTGCCCTTAAATTAGTGTCTCAAGAAAAGAAATTAAAAACACGGAGGGTGCTTTATTTTAAAGGCGCGTCCTCTATACCTGTCGCTTTATAATTTTAACTAGTAAAGAACCCGCGGCTATGCCGCTTTTGGGGTAATATGGAAAAAATCGGCAAACTTTAAAAGATATGTGCTGAAATTGTAAATCACCATAAATAGGGAAGAAAGTCGACAACTCCTAAAATTAGATGTCAAAAGTGTACAACGAAAAAAAGGGACACTGGTGGAGAAAATCCAAAATGTTGTGGCAATAATATTAAAGTTGTTAACGTTGGGAAAATATGTTGGCAAATTTTAAAGGAGGTTTTTTTGTGTTTTTTATGTCAAAATGTAAAACTTTTGACTACAAGGACAAAAAGTGTCAAATTCATTAAAGAATTGTGGCAAAAACACCAAAATGTAATACCTTTGAATATAAGGACTAAAAGTGTTAAAGTCATTAAAGATTTGTGGCAAAAACCTTAAGGCACAAAAACTTAATCAAAAGGCAAAAAATATAAAATTTTTGACTTTAGGGACTAAAAGTGTCAAGTTCAGTAAACTTATGTGGCAAAATCCTAAAGGCTAAAAGAATACTATTCCTAAGTTCCTTTGGATTTAATATATATATATATATATATATATATATATATATATATATAATGAAAACGCGCGTATAGTAGAGGGGGAAACGAAATCCCCAAAATTTTGAAAACCCGTCTTCTACCTTCTTTCTATCTTTCATCTTCTCCCCTCTCCCTCCTTCTCTCTCCTCTCCGATCCGCTTCTCCACCACTGCTGACCTCCTTATCGATCTCATCAAACATCGTGTCCTCTCCTTAATACCTCGCGGGAATCTAAAAATTAGAAAACCCCGTCCTCAAAAAGTCTAAGAAACTAGGGTTTTTTCATCCCTCAAAGAACGACCCACATCCTCCATAGATCGATCTCTATCGCTTCATTTCTCACAGGAAATCGAACACTTTACATTCATAGGGCCACAATTGTAAGGATCCTCACTCACATTTCTAGAGAATACCTTCGCATATATAACACGATCATCCACGATCATCTTCACGAAAATGGCTGCCACCATTGCTTGAGTCGGCTCAAGCTACGATCGACAATTGGAGCTCAAAGCTTTCGACGAAACAAAAACCGGCGTCAAAGGCCTCGTCGATGCCGGAATGCGGAAAATCCCTCCCATCTTCTTCCACCCACGGGACACCACTCCCAAAATATCCACCGCTGCTGTCAAGATTCCAGTCATAGACCTTCAATCGACCCATAGAGCATCGATGGTGGAGATGATTCGTGAAGCCTCCGCGAACCTAGGTATTTTTCAGGTGGTGAATCATGGGATTCCTGTGAGTGTTATGGATGAGGCGGTTCAAGGAGTTCGTAGATTTCACGAACAAGATGACGAGGTGAAGAAAGGGTTTTACACGAGGGATCTTTCGAGTACATTAGTGTATAACAGCAATTACGATCTGTATAGTTCCCCCGCCTTGAACTGGAGAGACACCTTCTTTTCATTTATGGCTCCGTCACCTCCGCCGCCTGAGGAATTACCGGAGGTTTGCAGAGTCATTCAAATCGAGTACTCAAATCAAGTCATGAAATTCGGAGGCGTACTTTTCAGATTATTCTCAGAGGCATTGGGGTTGAACGTGAATCACCGGAGGTTTGCAGAGACATTCAAATCGACTAGGGTTTTTTTTCATACATCTGGTTCGAGATCAATTTCTCCATTTCCCTCTCTCTCCCTCTCTATCTCTCTCTCCCTCTCAAAACATTAAACAATTTCTCAATTTCTCATAGGTTTCCATCTTTCATCTTGTTTTCATCTGTGACTCCTTGATCACCTCCTTCTCTCCTCAGCGTTTCATCTGCCACCATCTGGGAAATTTTTACTTTTCTTGTTCCCTTCAAATTTCAGTTTTAGCTTAAGTGATGTACAATTCGTTAACTTGTGCTGCTATTTCATGCAACTTGATATGCTACAAGAAGAGAATGACAATGTCCTTGAGAAGGTTGGGTTCTAATTATGGTATTCTTTGTTTATATATATATATATATATATATATATATATCTGGTCTTCATTGTTGAATTTATATTGTGCAGCTTAGGTTTGCTGAAGAAAGTTGTCAGGATGCAGAGATGAGGGTTAAGGAGCTTGAGAAGCAGGTGCTCACCCATATTCTTCTTATTTTGTGTCTGTCATATATTGGGATCTAAAAGGTTACATACTTTCTATTCCCATTGAAATAATAAATATGATCTAATCTAATCGTTTCACTATTTTGAACTTAAGAGTTATGACACTGATATCCCAATTTGTTATTTAAATCTGAGCCCATTCTTTTATTCACTTCACTAGCTATTAGTTTTTCTGTTCCATTTTTAACTGTTTTTTTTGGAGATCTGTGTGAGTTGTAATTGGAATCTGGAGATCTTGCTGTGTGTAGGTTGGAGGCTCGCTGAAGTGAGGGCGATTTGGTAAATTTGGGAGATGATGGTTCTTGTAAGGTGGAATCTTTTTCGATTTGGAATGTTGAGGTCTCGTTGTGGGTTCTTGCAGGCATACTAAAATGATATGAAATAGACTCATTAATTGTTTTTTCGTAAAGTAAAATTACTCTTAAGAAGTAAACTATAACTTTGTAATTTACTTGCTCTAATATAAGAGTTTAAGAGCATCTGGATTTACCTTTTTGGTAGTTTAGCTGCTTCATCACATCTTAAAAGCTCTGCATACAACCCATCTGAAGCTATAAGTTCATCATGTGTCCCAATCTCCATTAACTGACCTTCCTCCATCACAGCTATAAAATCAGCATTTTTAATTAACGAAAGCCTTCTACCAATTATAATGGTTGAACGACCCAACATTAACAAATCCAAAGCCTCTTGAACAGATCTTTCAGCTTCAAAATCAAGTCCACCTGTCACCTCATCAAGAAGAAGAATACAAGGATTCGAAAGCACTGCCCTTGCAACCGAAAGTCTTATCTTCTGTTCTTCTGTTAAAGATAAACCAGCCCTACCTACCTGAAAGCAACACATGTTTTCTCATTAGGTTAAAAGGGTAAAACTGTAATTTCATATACTCTTTTGGTTTTTAGTTACCTGTCTATCGTATCCTTTTTCAAGTGAGCTGATGAATGTATGTGCATGAGCTGTTTTAGCTGCATCTTCAATTTGAAGTGATGTGGCATCTCTCCCATAGGCGATATTGTCCCTGATACTTAAGCTTAGTAATGCAGGCTCTTGAGTGACTAAACCAATTTGGCTCATTAGCCCCATTTTTTATATTATTATTATTATTTAATTATTTGATATTGTTTTTAATATTTTTTTGTATGAATATGTATGTATTGTCTCTTTTAGGTTGCTTCTCAAGTTCATAGAGGTCAATATTCAAATGGCTTTGTTGATGGTTTTGTATGATTATTAGACATTCGAACACTTGATAGGTATGTTTTCCGTTTCATCTTAATTCTTCCACTGTTACTAAATTACCCATATATGAATTCATGATTACTTAATTTAATGGTGATTTCCAATCTTTTTTGATTTCCAACTTTCATCGCTCAAAAAATTGGATCTGTAGGTTGCTATTATTCCTCACAATTTAACCATATTTTTTTCACTGTTATGCAGTTTTATGACAAGTTTTAACATCCGCCATAACATCGTTGAACTTCTAGAATACCAAAATGCTTGGAAACAGGTAACTTTTTATTATTATGCCTCCAATAATTAGGTATAGAGCAGGAGAGGCTATGTGACTGGAAATCTTCATATTTGAACAACGAACCTATGGCATCCAATAAGTCGGAACAAATTGTATGAACAAGGTATGCAAAGAAAGCTTCACTACAAAAACATTCCACGTGGTTGAGTATAGTTATCGATGTGCTTTTAGGGAACCTTTTTGGCATTACATTGCTGACACATGTAAATTCTGTCTGTTAGACTATTTTGACCTTCACTAGTGATGTTACAAACCACTAATAAGCTGTGCACGATTAATGGGAAACCCTACTTGTTTTAAGTTGAACACTAAGCTTGCAGGAGTTCTTGACACTCTTTCTTTAAATTCAATTCAAATTTGGTCTACAATATTAGGCTCCATGCGTTTTCTTTTTATTTTTTTTCATTAAAGTGTTAGCCATAACCTGGGTTATTTTTTGGCAATACAACCCCTGTTGCACTAACACTTGACATGATTACTATCTCAACAACATATATATTCAACTCTACATTGGTTAATATCCCTCATTTATTTTAAGGCAGATACAGGCAACAACGACATTGTGGCGTCATTTTTGGTAATCAACAATCTGACATCATTACCCTTGAGTTGTTTAAAAATGGTTACTGTTTGATGTTTTGAATTTTATTACAGGGGCAGAAGTGGAATAAGAATTCACTTTGTGAGAGGTTAGATAGCTATGATTTGTTTTTTTGATTAAAGAAAAATGTATGTTTTTCTGTTTTTTTCTGCTTAACAAACATTACATTGTTGACATATTTCCTTGAGAGTTTCTTGACCCAACCAGGTATTGTTGCTGAAAAAAGCATGCTTTGCCTCTGTGATGGAAGCTTTTCCAATATATGCTCTACATCTTCCTCAAAACCAACATCAAACATTTGATCAAGAACCAAGAATTGAACCTCCACCAAATTTAGGGTGTTACTGTCAATAAGGTCAATAAGTCTTCCTGGTGTTCCAACATCACATCAATTCCACGAGACAATGCATTTTGCTGTGAATTATATGACACAAACAATGCTCAAATATGGAGCAGACTCTTTGATCTCTGATTCTACTTGCCTTGCCTTGCTAACTCCCTGGTAGGTGCAAGGACCAAGACTCTGGGAAGACGTTGACCACGCCTTTACATAAAAGATATAAGAAACCAGTTATATACAACATATTATTTGAATTACCAAGTACTAAATGTTATATTATTTGATTTTTTTTTCAGAAACTAGAGAAGCTTCAGGAGGAAGAACAAGTTGACGAGCCATTCATCCGAAAATAAATAAAGATCAGATCTCCACAACGTGGAAGATCTGTTGTGACAATAAAGAATCTACAATTTAGCTATGAAGACAAGGTAATTCATTAATAATAAGGTTGAACTTTTTTATTTTCTTTGTGATAATTAAATATGTAAGGATATGCTCTGGTTTGTTTTTTTTGTAGGTTCTTTTAAAAAAAGCTAACATATCTATCGAAAGGGGTGATAAAGTTGCCATAATTGGGCCAAATGGTTGTGGAAAGAGCACTCTACTTAAGTTAACTATGGGTTTACAAAAGCCCAACAGTGGTGAAGTAATTCTTGGTGAACACAACGTGCTTCCAAACTACTTTGAGCAAAATCAGGTGATGCATTTTTCTTGGTTTCATAATTTCCTCATATTAAGGATGTTTGTTGTAAAGTATTTGGGAAAAGAGTATTCTAAATTGAGAAAGCCTCGTTTTTAAAATTTTATATTAAGTTGTTCTTTTTGCATGAAGTGAAAAAGAAACATCCATTTACATACTATATATATTATTAGATTAAGGGTTTTTTTTTTTACTTAATGGGCTTAATGGGTTATAAGAACTTAATCTTGATTTATTCTACACAGAATGACTTGATGGGTTAAGCCAAAAATTCAGGCTTAATGTATTAAAACACTAATTCTTTGCCTGTTTTCCCTTCTTTTTTTCTTTCCTCCCAACTCTTCTTTGGAAAGGGTAAAATGGTCATTTCATTTCATTAAGATGGTTTATTTAATCTAGAATAGAAACAGACTCGGACAAAAATAACACCTTGATGTTTATAATAATAATGTTTAATACTAACAGAATAGGAGATTTTTCTATGAACTCAAATCAGAATCATCAATTTTTTAAACATGATGAGAAGGTTACCGAGGGATAAGGATAGTATTGTCAGTGAACAATGTGAACAGGGACTAGTTCTAATCTATCGTCTATACAAAAGGTGTAAATGTCCTTCTTATCCTCATAATTGAAAATAGTCCGTGTAACAAATATGAATGATTCCTTTAAGATTAGTGATTAAAGAGAATCACCCTCCATCGTATATGGTTTTCACCTTTGGTAACATAAAGATTCCTAGATTAAAGCTCATTATGTGATTGTGTGATTAATATTTTTTTTTTTGTTTAAGGTAATGCTTCAAGCCCTTACTTGCCATCCATGCCCGGTGGACAGCCGCCCATAACACCGAGTTCAACAGTTTTACCTGGTACACCTGGTGGCAAACCAATGACACAAAGAATTTTTTGACATGATATGTGAAATAAGAGATGTTGGAGCCCTTAGAGAAGCTATGGAAAAACTGGAGAAGTAAGTTGAAGAGCTGACATGGAGATTAGACTTTTAAAAGCATTTGAGGGTATATTTTTTTATATTTCTTGTATCTAATTACTTTGTAAAATTTTGTTACAACTTCTATTGATTTGTTTTATCTTTCCATGGAACGATTATTTGTATGACATTAAATTTTATGCAATGGATTGTATTTTTTGTATATGCTATTTCATTTTCTATTATGAGACATTAAATACAAATTTAATTTGAAAAATTAATAAATCTATAAATTATATTTTTTTTAAACATTTAAAATTATGATATGCAAAAATGTGTGTCATCTTCATTTATGACATGACCTTTTTTGACAGGAGCTTTAATGATACGCAATGCGAGTCGTAAATGCGCGTCGTAAGGTTACGACACGCAAATGCGTGTCATCTTCCTTTATGACAGGGCCTTCCTTGATACGTAATGCGTGTCGTAAACGCGCGTCGTAAATGCGCGTCGTAAATAGACGACGCGCAAAAGCGCGTCGTCTCTTGTTATGACAGGGCCTTTCTTGACACGCATTTGCGCGTCGTCTGAGCCTTTTACGACACGCATTGCACGTCGTAAAAGGCTGTTTTTCTTGTAGTGTGCTCAATTATTTGAGAGAGAATATAGATATAAAGATGCATATGTTGTATCCCAGGTCGGATGTCTTCCAATCACGTATAGGGACAACATATGACTAACAAAGATACAGGGATAGAGAGATAGAAAGGTGCATATGTTGTGTCCCAGGTCGGATCTCTTCCAATCATGCAAAGGGGACAACGTATGACTGACATAGATAGATAGAGAGAAGCATAAATATAGATGCATAGAAGTAGAGATGCATATGTTGCGTCCCAGGTCGGATCTTCCGATCACGCAAAGGGAGCAACATATGACTGACATAGAGGATAAGAAAGAAAAACAATTTCACACCGACCTACCTTATCAGAACCCCCCAGTCACCCTATCAGCACCAGAATTAAGGACATAAGTCCGTACGTCGAAGAAGTGTTGAGCCACAGTTCTAGATGATAAGTAACTTTAATGTATCTCATAGGCTCTCTTGTTTATCTCACTGCTCAATCTATGCAAGCGTCGTATGGTCAGTCCAAATATAACTATCTAAGTCCATATGAGTTAACATTGTCAAGTCCTTTCATTGTTAGCTATGTCAAGTCCTTTTGAATCCTTATTGCCTACCAGCACATTGAACACAGAGTCTAAACAATTTAGTTTCAGTGCATTACACGTATTTCATATTGCCCTTTAACACTAAACTTCATATCACTTCCCAAAAATACTTACGAAAGAGGATATATTTTTGAATTTTTTTTATTTTATATTTTTTGTTTGTATTTTTGATTTCTCCCCCTTAATTTGTGCATGGGGAAGAAAGGAAACAAAATAAATGCATAAATTTAAAAAATTTGTCTTCAAAACGAATCATTTTAAGAAAAACTCAAAAGTATCGAGAAGAAAACTCAAATGGTAAATCAACAATTTGAAATTGCATCCAGATGATCTGAGAACAACACGCATATGCAGCAACATGTTCAGCCTCAGCTGTGTTTCAATTCCGGAACGAAGTTAAGATATTCAATATTCATCATGCCATTAAAAGAGATCCCCATTTGTGATCCTTTCTTTCTTCCTTCCCGTAAAGGACACATACCCTCACTTAAGGTTCTGAATGTTGTGCAGTTAATAGATGTCTCCTATAATGTGTCTGGAACAACCACTATCAACCTACCGAAGTCTGATGATATTCCTCCATAGCTTCTCAAGCACAAAGTGCGGGATTAGTTGCTTTTTGGAACCCAGACCATTTTGAAGCTGGGTCTACCATCACTATCAACACAAGATACTCTTTCCCATGACATATCCTGTTTATCACACACAGAAGATGAAGAAATGTTAGAATCATTAGATGATTTAGAAGTGTGAACTTTTGGTACCCATCTATAGTCTGGTTTAACCCATTTCTTGTTTGATCGGATGGATGCCCAGCACTCGTTTTAGAACTTGAAACCGACCGCCGAGATGACTTCGACCTAACCGATCTTGGTCTCACAGAACCATCTCTTGAATTTGGCTTCTTGTTAGACATTCCCTTCTTGTCCTTGGGAATTTGATTATTGACCTTCTTAGCATTCCATTCACCATTGTGTGAACGTGACCTCGAAGAGTTTCTTTTGGAGGATCTCCCTCTTGGCACGTTCTGCTAACCTTCTGCATAGTAGGGAACATATGCACGATTTGGACAATTTCTTGCAATGTGTCCAGGTGTTCCACATTGGAAACATGTATGTTTCTTCACGTAGAAGTTGTTTCTGCCTGTCCCTGGTAGCGTACACATGCCTTGTCTTTAATTTTTCCCACAAGCACACTTACAGCAAGCAGTCTGTTTCACTTGTTTTGGTGGCCTGTATTTACCAACAGGAGGTTTATTATAAGTAAGAAAATTAGAAGTAGCAGATTCAGAGTTCAAAGAGAAATTGGTTTGACAATCAACATAATTAACATAACTTGAATTATTTTTGTTCTCCTTGTTCTCATCTTCCACTACTTTACCTGCACATGAAGTAGAGACATTAGTATCGCTCACCTCAACACTCTCAGTTGGGCCGGATTGTTCAGTCTTAACTGAAGCTGGTACAGGGGGTTGGCCACACTGATCAGGTGTCTCTACCTTATTGGTTTCAAGGGGCGGGGTATAGTTGTCATTGAAGGGAGGTGGAACAATGTGATACCCTAGACCCTTATTCTGATTATCTTTAAATTTTAATTGTTTTTCAATCATGGACTCAACTTTCTTACTTGACACATCAAACTTTTTAAAATTAAAGTCTGCATTTTCAAACTTATTTTTTAATGTGTTAAGCTCGACAGTTAGACTGACAATCTTTTCTTGAGCATAATCATTGTGTTCACATTTAGTGCTATATTCTGCTTGAAGTTTTCTAAAGTCCTTGGTTTTAGCCTCTAATTTTTCTTTCAAGTGTTTTTGGTCCTTTCTGATAGTATATCGTTCATATTTAAGGTCCTCAATTTCCCTAATTAATAATTCATATTGATCACGATAATGTTTAATTTTAGCTTCACAAGACTGAGAGCATGAAGCTTCATTAACCTTGGTGATTGAAGAACTCATTATTCACCAAAAAGGATAATTTACCAAAAAATAGAACCGATTGTGAAGCCAAGAAAAATGCCCTTTGACTTGAAACCTCGAAATTCAAACTTGAAAGACAGACTTGAAAAGTCAAACTTGAAAATCAAACTTGAAAGTCAAACTTAAAATTCAAACTTAAAAACTTGAAAGTAAAAAGTCAAATTTGAAAGACAAAAGTCAAATTTGAAAGTCAAAGTTGAAAGTCAAACTTTTTGTCCAAAAAAAAATAACCTTGACCGAGAACAAAAGTTTCTAGACCGATAACGAAGGATTTGGACCAAAAACGTGACTTTTGGACCTAAAATGCGAAGCCTCTTAACCAACCGAGAAGACACGCACCGAAATCTCTCAGACCAAATACGCGAGACCGAAATCTGTCGGACCGAAATCACAGGCCGAAAACGATGACCGAAATCTGAGGCCGAGAAGTCCGAACCGAGAACCTTCGCAGCTTCGGACCGAGAACGAGGTTGCGGATCGAGAACCCTCGCCCTAACCGAGAACGCTGTTGTGCCTCCGAGATCTTCTAGGGTTTGACCGAGTACGAGGCTGGCCGCCGAGATCTCGTAGATTTTGACCTAAAACTCCCAAAACTTGCCAAGAACATGAGGTTTTCAAATATTTAATGCCAAAATCGATCAAAGACCCAAAAATATGAAGAACACGAAGAACAATGGCCAAAATTTTGTCTAAAATAAATTAAAAACACCGAGAAGCTCCAAGAAAAACTCTTAAAAATATTTTGCAATAACCCGATTGCTACCAGTCCTTGCTTTGATACCAATTGTAAAACTCCAAATCGCTATGTATCAATCGGATTTCACTATGATGGTGCGGAATCCCAATCAAGTGAAAGATGCAAGATATCATATGGAATAAGAACACGATGATTAACCTTCAATGCACGCTATATTCAAGATAGTCTGGTACATAAGATTCATGATTACACACGGTTCTCTCTTGTTTTTATCTAGATCTCATTCTTGGCTTGTTGGCCACCACAAAAACGTCTCTCACTCTTTACAAGGCTCAAATAACACTATTTATACCTAGACATAATAACAAATGCCCAACCCAAAACCCAAACAAAACAATATTAAGCCTAACCAAAATCACATGTGATTTCGGTCCAAACAACACCAAAACATGGTGTTTTCGGTCCTAGACCGAGAACTCAAATAGCTTATGAAAATCAAAGTATAAACCATAATTTATGACCTAACATAAAATTCAAGAAATCATAAAAAGAATATAAAGTTTCAGTGACCCGAGCCTCCCAGCACTCTAAAAAGTCCTTTCTGCATATTCGCTTTTATATACCCTGCTTGGGGACATAGTTTCCAACTATACTTACGGGTCTTTGCGTGTTTACTTCAGTCCCCCAAAAACAAATTTCTTAGAAGCCTCTCACGGTAATAGACCGTGAGATGTCCCACAATCGAAAAATCAAGGACGAAAATATAAAGAAATAAGCCTAGCAAATAAACTGACAAGAGTATTATATGTTTTTTTAGCTTTTGTTTGTATTAAAAAAAATATTATTAAGTTCATATGTGACCTTTGGGACTCGAATAAGTAAACTCTGAGGGGGTGTTCTATACTTAATCTCCTAAAGCTGAATCGTTTGGGACTGATTGGGTTGAAAGTTCGCTACACGGGTTCCATAGAAAGTCATGAACTTAATAATAACAAAAAAATTATAGATATGTATAGGTATCCAAATAAAGCTAATTTGTGGCCTTTGAGGTTCGGGCAAGTAAACCCGAGGGATCTCTTAGCACACTAAGGTCATCTGGTCGGGATGTGTTGGTTGGAAGTCTGTTACATGGATTTCAAAGAAAG